AGGTTCAATGACGTGCTGCTGTACCACTCATCCACATTTGACACTCGAAAGAGTTCTACTATTCTTTAGTGTTTATACTTTTATTGGCGCGTTTATCGCCCGTCACAAACTCGCCGTTGAACGCGGTGTTCACTTTTACATTATCGTGTCTTTCTATAATGTCTCGCACTCGTTCGAGCACTACACCACCGGCATCTTCCAAAAATCGTCGCGGCTCGATATAGTTCACGTTGATCACCGCACCAGTCAATATACGGCTTTCAAACGCCGTATCAATCTCGCGCCAAACGAGAGATCCATTGTCTCTACTGGTGCTCGCGTACTCGCCACCAACGTGCACGAAACGTCTTTCTAATTGTACCTTTGCACCTGCGAGTCGTGCGATCCTCGCCACCACAGATTGTCTATTTGCAACGGTGAGTCGAGGACGCTTAACACGACTAAGTTCTTCGAGTTGTTCGATACACTCATCGCATTGTTGCAGCCACGCGAAACACTCCACCAAAGTAGCGACCTGGCTGCATCGTTCTAGCAGCTCGCGTTCCACTCGCTCGAGATGTTCCATTTTTTTTATATTGCGTCCCACGAAGCACTTGCACTTGCACGTGACGTGATTTGTTCACAATATCGTCTTTTTTTTTTTTTACGCGGTGCAAATTGGGCACATATTGCATGGCATTATCATACAGACGGACTGTTGGCAATTGGAGCAAAATCGGCTGTTTAGCGCATTGAGAGTATCTATCTCATGCTTCCTAACGGCATACAATACTCCAATGTCTGTGTCCGCCAGACGAACCATGCATTCGGCACACAGAGTTAGTGCACCACCCGTTGAATAATAAAATTGTATTGAACAATACTTTTTATTATTATTCAACGCAAGGAGTTCCGAACGCGTAACAATTTTTTCAGCATAATCCGTTAGCTCGTCACTCTGATCACTTATGTAGTCACTGTCATCAGACAACGCATGTTCTTCGTCTTCAATGTCAATGTTAATATTGTCAATATTATTAATTTCCATTTCTAGTTCATCTCCAAACTCTTCGTCCACTATATTCCTGAGGTTCTTCATGTTTATATTAAACACATTTTCTATATTTAATACGTTATTCATATTCACTATTTTTCTTACACAGTATCGCGATCGATATTCGTTTCGAGATTTCCGAGATCTACTGTGATTCTGTGTGCCCAAGGATCTACTATATATATCGTCTATAATTTCATTGTCTCTTTGTCGAACTCGAAGCATGGTCATAAGTTTTCCGAATCACAATTTTGATTTTTTGTAGCAGCCCAAGTTTTCCCGTTTTTTTTTATCTCCAATTTTCCTCCGATAAGAAGATTCGATAGAAAAGATTTGATGACTTTTTTTTTTAAAGACAGCATAACTTGAAAGTAACAGTTGGAATAATATCAATCGATATCCGGAATAGTTTTTTTCAACATAAAAAAAAGAAACTTGGTATTTATGATGGAATATTATTTATCGGTGTAACATCTATAAAAAATCGTATTCAGTTTTATAGTTTCCGTTCCGTATCACTGTCAAAATTTATTTGGCTCTTACGTGAAAACTTGGACTTGACCAAACAGGAACGAACATGTTTCAATATTTATTATTATTAGGAAAAAATTAAGAGAGAAGAAGTGTCCATTTACCGACTTATTTTTATTGAATAATGAATTTTTTCGAGATTGTTCGAAATTAACTCGTTACAACATATACATTTGTTTAGCAGCCGAATTATTGGCGCTTCTCTTACCATGCTGTAACACATACAATCGTCAATGATATTTTTTCTATATCGGGACATCATTATAAATCTTTCGAATTTGTTTAGGTACATTATTTTCATTAAATAACGGATTTTTCGAGATTGTTCGAAATTAACTCGTTGCAACATGTACATTTATTTATTTATAGCAGCCGGATTATTGGCGCTTCTCTTAACATGCTGTGACACGTACAGTCGTATTACAATATTTTTTCTAATTCGGGACGTCATTATAAATCTCCCAAATAGCAATTTGTTTAAATACATAGCAGCCCGAATATCGGCGCTTTTTTTTTTCCTATGTCAATTTCTACAAAAAAATATCTTTTCTAGCAGCTCTTCCTAGACAAAAAAAGACCCCCTTCCCCCTCAAAAGTACATTCCAAAGGATCGTCGACAAAGCATTCCCCCTTCCCCGTGCCTACCAGTTACCCCCTCTCCTTTACCCCCGCGTCACCGAGTTACCCCGCACACCCGCTCGGAGCTGGGTTAGAACCGGCCTAGTATTACTACTACAATTCAGTACGAATCCGGTATTGTGAACTGCTTCATGCTTTACTTCTGATATGAACAACGGTAAGTTCGGTAGCGCTTCGTATTACTTCATAATTGGCATTTTACGAAGAAGAGAAAGAACATGATAAATAAGAAGTCATTTAACATATCTTTCAAGCATTCGATTTTAAAATTTAACGAAATATCCAAATCAGATCAGCGGTGCGCGATGGAAATGCCTGAGGAATACGCCAAAACAAATTTGTTATCACGTCGTGATGGCCAAGACATTATCGAGGAATTTAGTTCCGAACTATCGAAGGTACAAGGTAAATGTCTCGATATAGGATCCGGTCCTGGTAACATTACCAAGGACTTTTTATTTCCTGTATTGCCGCACGACATCGAGTTAGTCGGTACGTGAATGAATAAAAATTTGGCAGTGGATAGTTCCATTCCAATGATGACATCGTCGACCTCATGTCTTATAGGCGCGGACATATCACAAGTGATGGTAAATTATGCCCGTAAGAATAATAGTAATGAACGACTATCATACATCATCCTAGATATTGAAGGAAAAATGCCAAGTGAGCAAATCGGACAATACGACTGTGTTACATCCTTTTATTGTCTGCATTGGATTTACGATTTAAGGTACTTTATGATATTTCCTTTTGCTAGATAACATTTGAAGAAAAAACGCTTTTAGAAATAAAATTGACCATTTTTGTAATCAATTTTGATATTTATTAGAAAGAAGTTGCACGAAAATATTTGCATAAATATGTTAATACGTATTCAATTAAGATTAAAGAACATGCTTCCCGTGTAATTATTCTAATTAAGAAGTTGTGTTAAATTTTTAGTCGTGCTTTCGAAAATATATTCAAATTGTTACGTCCGAATGGAAAAGCGCTTGTGACGTTCTTTGGCTTTCATGGCATGTTCGAGGCATTCATACGTCTTAGCCAGAATCCAAGATATGAATTTTATCTTCAGGTATCACATTAACTTACTAAACATACGCATTAATACACGATAATATTAAAATTAAATGTTCTCTTAAAGGACGTGCATCGTTATGTGCCTTATTTCCAAAGAGAAAAGTCCAAAAATATGAGAGCTAGTTTGCGAAAAATGTTGGAAGACATCGGCTTTGAAATCTTACATTGCAGCAAAAGAGAAAAAAGTTTTCAATACAACAGTCAGCAAAATTTAAAAAGTAATTATTTTAATAAATATTATTCCAAAATTAGTATTGATTAAAATATTATAAAATAATAATATTGAAGTAATATTATATAATAAAACAAATTATTAGTCATAAAGAATGCGTAAACATGATTTAAATCAAAATAAAATTAATTAATGTTTAAATAAAATTCTCTATTTCTTTAGTTGAATAGTTTTTAAATAACATATTTGTTTTTACAGTTCAAATATTACCCGTTAATCCTTTTTAACTCGAATGCCAGATGACATGAAAGATGAATTCACAGACGATCTGATAAGAGAAATATTTAACCATGACATTTTGATACCATTTGAAAACAGAAACAACGAATTCATAATGAACTACCACGTCCTAGTAACATATGTAAAAAAACCGCAATTGGCCATTTAATCTCTTTGTCTACAATATGGTATGAGACTCGTAAGGAAATCGAGCCAAGCCAGTACTCGGAATTAGTTGTCTTTTTCGACTCGATTTCGAAGGCGACGCCTACAGTTCTCCCACTACCGCAAGACTTGACGGCCGAGCCGCCGTAGCCTTATGCCTCAGGAACGTCTTATATTAAAAATGCACCGTTTTGCTAAACTATTATTAAATTAATTTCTTTATTAAATTATTTTTATTTTTACAAACATTAAATTTTCTTTTTAACATATTTGTGTTTTATAATATTTAATGATAACAAATACGTTTATAATAGAATTATTACATAATAATTAGAATAATTAAAGTTTTACAATAAATTTCCACATCACTCGTAAGGTATTATTGATGTATTTTTTTAAAGTGATTTCCTTAGTGATTTTTGTACTTAATAATTTCCTATTTTATTGAAAAGAATCAAATATATGACTTAATAAGAAATGAAAAATAAACGCGTGACCCGTATAGTTTTTGTTTGTTTAGATGTTAGATGGAAAATTAACTTCATTTTCTACGTTGTATGCATGATCTTAGTAAAGATGACATATCAATAGAAATTTTGGAAAAACTGGTTTGCATCAGCAGAGATAGTAATGCATCATAATGCATCAAAAAACATTTTTCTTTTCTTGTGCATCACTATTTTCGTTGATGCGAAATTCTTCTAAAATTTCTATGGATATATCTCTAGTAGAATCGTGTAAACGACCCAAAAAAATCAAATTAGCATTTTTATACAAATTGCTTTTCTTTTCGCATTTGTTTTTTTTTTTATTTTTTATATCATATATATTTTTTATATCATATTTTACAATATAGAATTTTATTTTCCTGCCAAGCCATATATTTGATTTCTTATTTTTTAATGGAATAGGAGTCTACTGGAGAAATCACTAAAAAGAAAACGCGTCAACAATAATACGTCATGGATGATGCAGAAACCTATTGTTAAAACTTTAATTATTCTGTAATAATTCTATCTTTATTATGTAATAATTCTATTATAAACGTATTTATTATCATTAAATATTATAAAACACATAAAATATGTTAAAAAGAAAATTTAATGTTTATAAAAATAAAAATAATTTAATAAAGAAATTGATTTAATAATAGTTTGACGGAAACGGTGCATTTTTAATATAAGACATTCCTGAGGCATAAGGCTCGGCCGTCAAGTCTCGAGCGGTAGTGGGGGAATTGTAGGCGTCGCCTTCGAAATCGAGCCTTCGAAAAGGGCAACTAATTCCGAGCACTGAGCCAAACACAAGAATCAAGGGTGATATGTCGATCGAGCCAAACTTAAACAAAACGGGTCAGGTTAGTGGTTAATTGTCTCAGTTACGTATTATTCTTGGCCACATTCGCACGTTTAAATATATTTTCTTAAAAATATTTAAAAAAAACTCTTATATAATGATGCGTGACCGACCTTGCTGTCGATTGTGGCACGCGCCATCGGAACTTAAATCATAGGACAAGGGATTAAGTGCGAAAAATATATCTCTACATACAAAATTAACAAAGTTGTGTTTATCTTATTTAATATATTGATAAAATAATTGGAATATGGAATATTATAATATTTTAATGCAATATCCATTATTGCAAAATAAATAAAAGATAATAAATAATAAAAAATGTGTCAAGTTATATTTCTCTCAACAAAATCTTACGTTCGGGGCGAACGTCTGCTCCAAAAAAATAACAAAAGAAGGAAAGAATAAATATATCGCTTTTGATCAGCTTGCTTCCTACAATACTAAATTTTATGTTTATTTTTGTATGCTACATCTTCGATTTTATAATAGTTTAGCCATCTAAAGGGTATCGTTATTATAACTTACAAATCATACATCGTACGAATACCAGAGTGGATATTACGGTATCGATATTGGTAGCATAATGAAATGCGCAATGCTATAACGAGAGAGAGGAAAAAAGAAGTCAGAGAGGAAGAAAGTATCTCATTATTTTTTTTCTCCAAAATATAGTGATGGTGGGCAAATTACTTTTGCTACAGAAAATTGTCTGTGTTGCAACAATGCCACTTCTCTACCTTTCTACGTATCTTTTATCTATCTTACTTCATTTCATTTTGGATAGATAAAGAATTCTGGTAATATGCTTAACCACTGCTGACATCCGATGAAATTTATATTGAACAAAGTCAAAATAAAAATAGCAAATTTGCATACAGACAAGCAAGTTTTCTATATCTAATAATTTTTTAATTGTCGGATGTCTTAAAATAGACTGATTTCTCTCTCAAAATTGCAAATAATAAAAATTTATCAAAACAAAATGAAATATACGGCTCAATGTAATGATTCTGTATCAAAAAGAAATTTAAAGTCTTTAATAATCTCTCAAACTAAATGCTATTAAAAGATTAGTTAATATATACTATCTGTTTAAATTTAGAGAGAATAAAAGAAGTCATAAAGTAGATTATTTTTTTTCATTGAATTAATTTTCACAATATTACTTTAACCTGTGTACAAAATATTACAACTACAAACTTAATTTACAATACTTATTGCAAGCTTATTTTGTGTACACGGTAATTGCATTGGATTAATTACTGTAATTCAATCACCATTTTGCGCATTTGTTCGACCGTGTTTGACCTTATCGAGTAACATGTATCGAAATAATTCCGCGAACGATTATAAAGTAAGTAAAGAGTATAATCCACTAGATTTATATCTCGTCGAAATGCGCGTCGCGCCAGTGGATAGCAAACAGCGTCCTGTTTGTTCGCGGTTTGCACGAACGAGACGATGAGAATATACCCGGCATACGGATATATATGTATCAAATTCGACCGGAACCGTAATCCACGTTAAATTAATTCGACACCTCCGAAACGGCGATTGCGGAACAAATGAAGTCCACGCAAAACCGATTATCCGTCTGAAATTTCCCACCGCAAAGTACGCGAGACGAGTTTCTGGCGAAATTACTCGCGCCGCAGGTAATTGTCTCCGTTTCGATCTGTCAGCTTCCCCGACAGTTTGCCAGGGAGGCCCGATGACCGGGTTCAAAGGGGTAGGATTCAGTGTAACGCGGCACCGGATAATCCGCCAAGGGATCCGTCGCCGAATCTCCGGGGTGGGCCTCGCTAAACAAAGCGGTCGAGAGAAAGAAAGAGAGAGAGAAAACGCGAATGGGTGCGAGAGAGGGAACGGCTGCTCGTTTCGCCTAACGAGATACCACGAGGAGGAATATGAAAGGTAGTGCAAATCGGGCAAGATTTGATTTATATCGATTCATATGGGTTCACCGGAGGTGAAGCGAAATCTGAAGCGTGAGATAAATCCTAGCAGAATTTTCGTCAAATTATGGGAAGCTGATTTAATTCATCGTTGATTTGGTAAAACATTATTGTGATAAATGCGCCATAATGAACAATTCCTTATGGTAAGCAAATCCACATATTTCCAGAAAGTAATAAAATTGTTTGTCTTCAAAAATAGAAGGAACTATGATACTAGTGCGATAAATTGTATCAGCGATTGATTTTTCGTGAGAACTGAATGGAAAGTATATATCTGATATCTAACTAGTTTCGAAATAAAACGTATAATCGTGTTTTCTTCTTTAACATAAAATTGTAATTATCTTTCAATTGCAATATAGTCAGATCACAGATTAAGAAGCTTATCAAAGTTTATTCGTCATCCATTATTTGTTGTACTTATTACTTTCTGTAAAATTAATCACTTAATTTTCTTTTTTCTTTCCTGCCTCATGCATAGTCATATCGTATATAATTACAATCTACATATCAATATACAGTTATTAATTTATTATATACAATTAAATATAATTTTTAATAAATTGCATTATATGATTTTTTTAAATTTGAGCATCAATAATTTCGTGTTTCTCTAAATACTCTGTCAAAGTTAACTTTTAATCAAAATAAACTTGATCAATTGTATTATATAATACTATTAAAATTATATAATACTATTAACAAAATACAATACCGTTATAAAATTTTGCAGACTGGCAACCTTGGTTGATTTTGTTTGAACTACAGGTACTTGAGATACCCGCGCTTCAATAGATAAACAAAGTCCGCGTGCCACAACGTGGCGAGAAAATACGCCAACAGGGAACTCCGGAAGTCGTCGCGAGCGCGCCACATTTTATCTATTTCAGGTGCGTTGCACGCATCCGAGCGATGATACGACAGAGTGCGCAATATTTACACGCGAGTAATGTTTATCAAGCGATCTCGCGATTGCGCCGGAGAGTAAACCGTCCTCTATCTTTTTCTTTCTCTTTATCTCCTCGACTGAGATTATCCTTGAGATTCCACGAGATCCGCTGGTCATCCTGGCGCGTTAAGTTAATAATCGTCATTTCAACGCGGCCCGATTAAAGATTCTTTCGCTATCTACTACTTTCTCCTCCTTCTCCACTCTTCTTCATCTTTTCCGCCAATGAGAGTTGTTCCGTAGAGATTGCTGGTAGTTCAGTGAGATGGGGAAGGAGAAGATTGCAGCGAGGCGAAAGCAAGACTAATAATCGTTATCACACAAACGAGTCACATTCAATAATCTTATTTTTATTAAGTAGAGAGAGAGAGAGAGAGAGAGAGAGAGAGAGAAAGAGAAAGAGAAAGAGAAAGATAATAAGCTCACGAGAGAGACATTCCTTGCGCGTGACGATACCTGCGCTACCGATTATTCGGAACGTAAAGAAGAGAAGAAGAAGACAGAGACCTTCTCGAACGTGGCACCTGCCAACAACTGGATAAACCAAATTGATCTGCATTCCACGATCCTGCACTCCTGGCAGCGTGCGTACGTCCGCCATATCGAAAAATATCTCTTAGCGTAAACACCGCAGATTCCAGATCTTCCCCTTTCTGTTAATCATTACTGTCATCCTTAAAACAACATCAAAATGATGTTGAAGAATATTCTGATATCTTGATCAGAACGTGCCAAACGAGTTTAATGATAAAAAAAAATTAAAATTGCTTCCGCAAAACCTTATAAAACGTAATTGAAGAGTCGTTGAAAACTGCTGAATAAAGATGTCGACAACCTCTTATAAACGATAACCAAATGCAAAAAGCCACGTCCATCCACATTTCATTTTTCAGGACGGCTTCGTTTTGCAAAATTTCATTGCCGACCAGTGTGTTCTATTA